TATTGAGGTAAAATTTACAGACTGACTTTTTATATATGAATGTATGTCAATAGAACCTTAATTCAAACTCAAATTTGCTAAAACTTCAGCAAAATATAAACAAAATATAAATCTGAAAGCCGAACTGAAAGACTTCGCAAGGTCTTTGTGACAAAGTCAGCAAAAAAGAAAGGCACAAATTGTTCTAAAGGTTTGTTAATGGTGTGTCGGAAGATATTACCACCAAACTCGACGAAAACATGGTCAACCAGAAACTAGATCGAGTTTTATCATTTTGCCTCTGTACATATTTCTTCATCGATTTGGGCGCATTAAAAATACTCTTCAGCATAGTTCATAGCCATGTACATATATGTGTTTGTACCGTATTTGAAATGAAAGCTGTCATTTAATAAGAGAACGAATGATTTCATTTCATAATGAGGTATTGAATTGAGTGGAAAATAGAAGAAATTCTCATTAGAAGAGATGTTGAAGATTCGTCAACAGCTTTTCTGATTCTTTAAAAAAACCACTTAATATTGATTCCATATTCAGACTGTAACCCTGTTTAAAAATTACTATTGTGAAAATTTACAATGGAAAATATGTTAAGGTAAAGAGAAAGCCTATGATGTGTCGTGAACGGCTGTTGCAGTGTACGATAAGTCCATAATAGAGCCGAAACACATCTGTATATTTCGACCAAGTACACTACAACGACTGCTGTGACTTGTTGATGCGCAACACCTTAGGGGCGAGCTGACCTGATCCAAATTACTAATGGATGTCAGCTCGTCACCTACATCGTCCATTCACAACAGTAGAGTTGTAGTAAGAAGCTCTGATAAAGGTTTGATGAACAACTAGACGAACCAGCAATGAGTTACTGTTGCTATAGATTATTTTGCAGTTTGGAAATCTTATCAAAACGATTTATAACGTGCATATACTTTTTTCTATTGATAACACGTAATCCTTACATAAATCTTGGTTATTACAGCATGGGTCAAAATCAATATCATCTTATCTCTGTCCTGAAAACTACACGTTGACCATGTACTGTAAATAGACGACCAGTGTTGTCTTTCAGTCTTCCCTGCGGGTGTCATGAACGAGACACAGAGAATAAACTAATATTGTCCAGAACAGACAAGGAAGTAAAAGCTGCTGCGAGGTCAAATGGGTATAGCAAAAAATCACAGCCAATGCTAACTTTCATCACTGGGCTAAAATACGACATAAAGAGATTACTTAAACTTCCGTGTAGGAAAGCGTAATCATGTCGCCATTAGCACAGAATGGATATCGTTTAGAAATCGTCGCTTAAGGCTAGGATAGCGATAAACATTTACACCTCAATATCTTATATCACAAAAGGCAAATGTTATTTTCAATGTTACAACCGTGTTTTTATTTCATATTGTTAAAATATTTGCCATTTTGTTCTTTTTGAAACAAAATGATTTTATAAATGACCGGTTTTTATAATCATATTTTAAAACATAACTTTTGAAAATAACGACAATGATTGTAATTTCGAAGAGAAATAGCTTACCTTGTGCCCATGGGACTCTTTATCTTCGTGTAAAGTAACAGTATTTCCAGTGTGTACCTAGAGTCTAAGCCTGCCAGATGTAGTTAAAGAGACTCACGACCTGGTGAGGCAGAAAATAGTTAAATCCGGTATCGCCAACCTGTGTCGCTTAATCGCCTATGAAATATTCATTTTACAGTCCGCTACAGAAATCGACATTTTACTGAGGGTTGTGAAACTGCAGTTCCGAGAATAAGACAGCGGCGTATTATATGTAAGTTAAAACGGGAAGTGGGACGATATGGAGAATTTTCTTTAGAATAAATATTCAATAGCTCCAAGCAAAAAACATAGATTTAAGATTGAATAGCAAGCATATGTGGATGTTATCTTTCAATTTTTATTGAATCAGTTTAAGTACCAATTAGTACGCCGATTTCCAGTAGGTAACATTATAAAAAAAAAAACCCCAGAAAATATGACATAGAATGATACCATTAATGATACGAATGTTCAAGCTAAGAATTATATTACAGTATACACGTATATTTAAACCATGAAATAATTAATAGACGAATGATATGATTAATTACAATTTGGAAATGTTGTTAAAGTAAACAATTATGAACATGCCGTATATATATGTATGTACAGAAACACGTGGCATATAAACAAATGTATCGTTTTTATCAAATAATAATTGAATGTAACAACATGTCATATTACAAAACAATGCTAAACTAATATGTATGCTAAATACTTTAATGAAAATGATGTTCGTTTCATACACTATGTCAGCTTAAGCTATGTCGTTTCTATAGCGCTATTGAAAACTAAAATAAAAAAATATTGTCTCACCGGTATCCGAAATCGCTATGACAGAACCAATAATATATCTTCATGTTGATCATGTATATCACATGTAAGTAAAATTTCTCGCTATCTCTTAAACTCGGTTTAAAGTCGTAAATAAGTGTGATACTTTTTGAACAATTTAAATAATCAAGATCACTATACAGGTGTATATATTTATGTCTTCATCATTCTTTTTGAAAGTAAATACAACTATGAAGAGTTATTTCTCTTTTCACGAGAACTTATAATAATTTATATATATATTTATATATATATATATATATATAAAATAAATTTACGTGAAATACGTTAAGAAATCATCACGTTGATTACTCAGACTTGAGTAATGTAAGTTTGACTTAAGATGTATGCCTTCCTAATCTAAAGATCGCTACAACATACAGTGGGAGGCTTGCCGCTGTTTGACTGTAATATTCTCGAATTTGACAGACATTCAATTTGTTTGTATTAACTGCGTCTAAGATCACCTAAATTTGAAAATAGACTCATCGAATTGGAAACAGAGGTGTATTGTGACAGAGGTAAGCCTGGCGACTGTGTGGTAGTGATGTGGGCGTTACAAATGGAATTTGTTCACTGTATGGAGGACTGTAATGTAGATATCAACTGTACTCACGATAGAGCTAAAATTCGGAATTTTTAAGGGGAAAATTGTTTAGCTGTTATCTGTCCGATCAATTTCTACAACAAATGGTGTATCACAAGACGTGTTTCAATTAAAAGAAACAAATTCTTTTGATAGTAAAATTATGATTATTGATGAACTGGAGTGATATCTGCACCGGTTAGGACTTCATAGGATGCTTTTGACTTACGCTCTTATTAAGATAACAAGTAACATGAATTTTAAGTTGGAATGTTTTTTCACGAAATTCATTCATTTATTCTTTTTTTCTATGAAGACCTTTCAATCAGTATTCAATAGAAATACCTGTAGCCTTATCCAGTAAAATTACGATTGTTTAAGGAAGTTTAAAGATCTCAATTACCTGCTGTAGGTATATAGTACCTGTAATACCTGTATTAATGTATGATGTGTATAAGTTACAGGCTCTCATGTCACCATATATTTGTTACTGGCTATTTCATCAGACCATTAGATTTTCTATACATTTGTACAAGATAAGATGCAATTGAAAGGATTCCATTGATAGCTATCGTTTTAACTGACAAATGAAGAAAGAAAATGATTAAATAAACAATATTTCGACGAGAGAACGGAGTCTACCTGTATGGAAACTCTGAGCACGCTTATAAATATAATAGAAGTGTAGTTTCACAGTAAGTCAGGTCAGATCACCCGAACGGAGCGAGACTTCTACAAAACATTTAGTTTAATATAGATATATACGAAGATTTACCCGAACACACATTTAAAATCGTCTTTCAACTTATTTCGTCGTACAACCATGATTGTAACTGGCGTTTTGTTTGAGTGATTAACATTTTTTTCGAAAGAAACGAAAAATGATAATGTATTTTGGTGATTGTACATCATGAACCTCCATCAGGCATGCCATGAACCTCCACCGGACATGTCATGATCCTCCATCAGACATGCCCTGAACCTCTATCAGACATGCCATGAACCACCATCAGACATGCCACGAACCTTCACCGGACATGTCATGAACCTCCACCAGACATGCCATGAACCACCATCAGACATGCCATGAACCACCATCAGACATGCCATGAACCTCCATCAGATATGCCATGAACCACCATCAGACACGCCATGAACCACCATCAGACATGCCATGAACCTTCACCGGACATGTCATGAACCTCTACCAGACATGCCATGAACCACCATCAGACATGCCATGAACCTCCATCAGACATGCCATGAACCACCATCAGACATGCCATGAACCACCATCAGACATGCCATGAACCTTCACCGGACATGTCATGAACCTCCACCAGACATGCCATGAACCACCACCAGACATGCCATGAACCACCATCAGACATGCCATGAACCTTCACAAGACATGCCATGAACCAACATCAGACATGTCATGAACCTCCACCGGACATGCCATGAACCTCCACCGGACATGCCATGAACCTCCACCAGACATGTCATGAACCTCCATCAGACATACCATGAACTACCATCAGGCATGCCATGAACCACCATCAGACATGCCATAAACCACCATCAGACATGCCATGAACCACCATCAGACATGCCATGAACCTCCACCGGACATGCCATGAACCTCCACCGGACATGTCATGAACCTCCATCAGACATGCCATGAACCTCCACAGGACATGTCACGAACCTCCATCAGAAATGCCATGAACCTTCACCGGACATGCCATGAACCTCCATCAGACATGCCATGAACCTCCACCGGAAATGCCATGAACCTCCACAAGACATGCCATGAACCTCCACCAGACATGTCATGAACCTTCACCGGACATGCCATGAACCTCCATCAGACATGCCATGAACCTCCACCGGAAATGCCATGAACCTCCACCAGACATGCCATGAACCTCCACCAGACATTTCATGAACCTCCATCATGAACTTCCATCAGACATGCCATGAACCTCTACCTGACATGCCAGGAACTTCCATCAGACATGCCATGAACCTCCACCGGACATGCCATGAACTTCCATCAGACATGCCATGAACTTCCATCAGACATGCCATGAACCTCCACCGGACATGCCATGAACCTCCATCAGACATTCCATGAACTTCCATCAGACATGCCATGAACCTCCACCGGACATGCCATGAACCTCCATCAGACATGCCATGAACCTCCACCAGACATGCCATGAATCTCCACCAGACATGTCATTAACCTTCATCAGACATGCTATGGAGCCGATAACCTCTACCCAACCTTCACAAAAATTTTTAATGAGAGCGTTCTAGTGTTTATTCTAACTTGTCACGAACTGATATAGCCGCCAGGATGTTAGCTTCCTTTATGTCACTGCAGACTAAACAATGGAGGCAGTATATATTACCAACAAGGTATGATATAACAGACGACCTCCCATTCAAACAAAAATGTTTATCAACATACCCTTGTTTAAAATGACTAGGATCATCGAAAACTGGTTTACCTAACCTAGATTAGAACGCGTCTAGACTAAAAAATTTTCATCCAAATTGTTTTCCTGTTTTTTTTTCTCTGATATAAAATGTGTCACGATAGAGATTTTCCATTTGAACTCCAGACAACAATTTGGATTATAATTTCGACTCCGAACCTTAACATTTATGATAAAAAACATATATACTGATATTTTTTACCGTTTGTCGTACTAATTGGTCCGCCTCGCTATTATCCAAATTTCTCACAATCATTGTTTGTACCTTTACAAGAGGATAGCAGTATAAATAGTATATTTCTAACAAAGCACACAACATCTCAGTATGTAATAAACGTTACCTTCTCTTCCGTACATTATCCTATTTCCTGTAAACAACACCTTAACTTTTGCATTCTTAATGAAATATTTCTTTCAAAATGGCAACCGACGCCATTTTTAAATGCGTAATATACTGCAGCATAAATTGCCAACACACGTCAACACCCTGAAAAAAAATCAGGATTTCCAGTTAGAATGTCTTTATCAGTTGAGATAAAGACATTCCAGCAGGCTATATATTCACGGAAACAAAATACCACTCTTTAATTTTTTCTTCCAGTTATCCAAAGTTAAGTCTTATTATAATTTTGTTTACATATTTGTGTTGTCAAGAAAACAATTCTTTACTAAACTAGTATTACAACGTCTCTGACGTCACATCTTTAATTTATGCAATCTAAATAAGAGAAATAATTATGTTATATATAGATCGGACAAGTGTCTTGCCCAAGGACACAAACAGGTAAGTTTTTACATTTTCGCCAAATACATACAGCCACGGATAAGGAGTTTCGAACTTAACACCTTGGATCTGTTGGCCAACGCTATAACAGACTGAGCTTTATAGATATAGGGTTTCTATGTATCGGAAAATAGCGTGGGCTGTTTACAGAAGTGCAATAGACGTACCCGCAACACACTTCAGGAGAGTGTAGGTTTACAAGGCGTTGAAGAAAAGTACCCCCTTCAATTGCTGTTCTTCGCACTAAGGTAGTGTTACAGTTTTTTCTGATCTTGCCATGGATGATATGTTTGTTCATTAAGTTACCTAATTATAAAGGTTTTTATTGGGAATTTCAAAAGAAATCCTCACTAAAATTGGTATAGTCATGCTGAAGTGGACAATGTGGGACTTAATAATTTTTTGAAAATGATATTTTGTATCAGGTTGGAGATTATTGTTTGGACAGTCTCGAATCTGTGTCTACTCCCCCAAAAACTAGCTTTACACCTAGTAGGACTTCCCAAGTATCAACACCTGTTTATGTTGTAAGTCGTTCCTAGCTGGGATTCGGTGAAACGTGGGTAATTTGTTATCATGGCAGCGCCGTTCATGTTATGACAGGTGTTCAGAAATAGATTTCTTTCTTTAATTTGATTAGTTTTTAAATTCAATTCAGCATTTTCCCCAAACTAGTATCGATATCTTGTTGAGGTATATTCGTTCATCTAGCTAAAAATGGAAATGTATCTTTTTCTTATAATTGTTTTTGTTTCTTCCTTCGAAATGTTTTCCATTTTTTTAACACGACAAAAAACATTGAAATTTTACATGAGTTCCATGTTTGTTTTGCTCATGGTAATTTTCATATTTTGAAGACCCTAGTCCCCTAAATTTGACGGAACCTGGAGGTTGCGACTGAATAACAGGCAGTGCTCAGAATCTACCAATGTATTTGACATGAATATGAAAACATATACTATTGCAAATAAAGAGAACGAAACGGAGGAAGTTCAGTTAAAGAACTTCTACCAAAAATGCTAATTTTTCATTAGTTTCCATTCTGGTTAATTTATATCTTCTGCTGAGATTAGATAAAACAATATTGAAATATAACGGTATTATAAGACTGTGTTTGGTATTCAATTTGTCTCATTTGAAATAGAGTAGGTTTAAAGTGCGTGATTATTGCTAGTTTTTTTTACAGGCCAGAGTCTATACCCACTGTTAATGGCATTTCAGGTGAATAGTCGAAATAGGAGACTAAATACCTCAGGACAGAACTTATGTACCTATTCAGAAATAATTCCAGCATATTTCTTTCTAAGATTTTATTCACAGCATAAAAACGTATTAAGTATTTTAGTGTTGTTAAAGAATCTACGCAAAAACAGAAAATATTTGCTGTCCCACGACAACATAAGGTGAGAAAGACACTATGGATGATAATAAAAAA